CCTGTTTGATAGAATTTTCCCCAATTATTTATTTAACTTTCTATTCCTCAAAACACTCCTTCCATGTCCTGCCTGACCTCTTTAGAGGATTCTGAGGAGTTCCAGAGGGTCCCCTTCCCAAGTCCAGACTGGGGAGCTCTCCAAACGGCACCCTAAAACAGATGTATACTGGATGGGCCAGCAAGCTAATTTAGAGCCTAAAACCCAGATAAGAAGTCTTGGTGTAGTGTTGTAGGATAAGCATTTGACAACAAGGTCAGTTTAAATTGCAAGGTCGGGGGTTCACATTCACCAGCCTCTCCTCGGAAGCCCTATGCTAGGTCACTATGAGTCAGAACCGACTCGCCAGCACTTAACAACAACCCAGGTAAGTCTTCCTTTCCTGCCCTCAGCACTCTACCAATAAGTAGTAGTAGGTAGATGGACGACCGAACTCATTGTGGGAAGCGCATGGCCTGAGTGGCACTGGCGCGGGCCTGGAAACACTTGTCCTGGTTCTACTGCCAGTACCAGGTGGTCACGACGCTCTACATGCTGGAGCCCTGGAAGCGGACTGTGTTCGATTCGATGCTGGTTTCTGTTCTGGGGATGGCATTATACACAGTATATGTCTTCATGCTACGGCACATCATGGCAATATTGCACTACTTTGAAATTGTACCGTGATCACCATGTGACCAAGATCCACAGGTTCCTGAAGAACCACCCTCTGAAGTTGGAATGGGACTTCATCAGATGGCATAAGTAAGTACTAGGTGTCAACATAAGCAGCCTTATGAGTATGACGGCTCAAATTCGTGAGTTGTTAAGTACCGTGGAGTCAGTTCCGACTCATAGTGACCATGCATAGGGTTTCTGAGGCTGTAAATCTTTGTTGTTGTTGTTATGTGCCGTGGAGTTGGTTCCGACTCATAGTGACCCTGTAAAGGGTTTCCGAAGTTGTAAATCTTTGTGTTGTAAATCTTTGTGGGAGCTGAAAGCTTCCTCTTTATCCTGCGGAGCAGCTGATAGTTTTGAACTGCCGACCTTGAGGTTAGCAGCCCGATTCGTAATAAATATGCTACCAGAGCAAATTTATGAGTTGTTGTTGTTGTTGTTAAGTGCCGTTGAGTCGGTTTCGACCCATAGCGACCCTGTACAGGGTTTCCGAGGGTGTAAATCTTTACAGGAGTAGAAAGCCTCATCTTTCTCCCGCAGAGCGGCTGGTAGTTTCGAACCGCTGGCCTTAAGGTTCGCAGCCCGATTTGTAACCACTATGCTACCAGAAATTTATGAGTAGGACAGGTAAATAATCGTAACTTGTGTTGTGTTTTGTAGTTGTAATTTTAAGAGGCTCTTGTATAGTTTTTTGGTCTATTTTAACATCATAGTCATTTGTACTTTGATATTAGTATTTTCTTAATCTTTGTGACTATTTCAATAGTATCCCATGGAAGCTTTTCTTAATATAACTGAATACAATTTAATTGCTTTCTATTTTTAAATTCCAAAGTCATTAGTTGGCTTTATCGCTGTTGCTATTGTATGACATATACATCAGCCTGGGTCTATTTCTACACTTGACCAAAGTTTTGTAAGAAACAATACAAGATATGGGGCAAGAAGGAGGGGAGGGACAATATTTTACTGAGCACTACTTATAAAAGACTTACCTGTAAGTTCAAACTCAGGAGGATAGTTCAATAAGTTTAAGTTATCTAGACTCCACTCTATTTAGCAACTTTTGCTTTCAAAGTGTGAAAGCTGTTCTTAACAATGAAAAACAGATCCTGCTAAAGTTAAAATAAAGGAACATTTCACCTTTAAAATTTTTAATTCTTACTTGAACTTATTTCCAGAAAACTTATGATGATGATTCTTATGACCAAATGTTCTCAATTGGTTAGGTAGTATTATTATGTAATGCTTATATAGTATAGTGTTTTTAATAGAAAGTAAATACATTTCCTCTGAAGGCTACTGTTAACAGTGTACTTCCTTAATTTATTTTCATGAATGTAATTGCTGCTGTAAATGCATTTGCACATTGCATTAAGATATGATGAGATGAATTGTAGTTTAAAACTAGAGCAAAAAGAAGTGTAAACTTGGTTCACATCCTTTCAGCCTTGGTATTTTTTTTTTTTTTAAAGATTTTTATGCCTTAAATATCAAATGACTACTCAAGTTTTGTTTTTTGTTTTTTTTTAAGTAAACTCATTAAATTTAAAGGGAGGGGGACGGTAATAGGCATTATGCGAGTCCAAGCGATTCAAAAGCCCTCAGGAACAAATACTTGTTCAATTAAAAAAGAGCTACTTAAAATTACTTTAAACAAAGCACACTTATTAGTACTGGTATGCTTTTAGAGCTGCTTTATTGTTGTTATTGTTAAGTGCTGTGGAGTCAGTTCCTACCCATAGCGACCCTGTACAGGGTTTCCAAAGAGCAGCTGGTAAGTTTTAACCACCAACATTGAGGTTCAAACTGACCTTGCAGTCCAGCACATTAACCCACAGCACCACACTTTGTTTATTCTCATTTGTTTGGCTCAACCAACCAGACACACACTCTCACTCTGCCTAATAATTATTACTTAAGGAAACTATCATCTAAAGAAAGGAGTAATTGAGGGAAAAGAGAAAGCCTTTAGAATTGCAGTGAAAACACATTTCTGTATTTCCCAGGAGCGAGTGAATATAGCAGAGGAAGCAAAACAGCTGTTTCTTTCTCTGTCATATTAGGTGATGAGGCTGCTGAGTCAATCAAAGCTATGTTTTCATATGGGTTCCAGTCTGCCTTATTGTAATAGGTCTTTTACACTGAAGATACTTTGTTCCAAGTCTACTCCAACAATACTAAGAAGTGGGAAGTGGTTGTGGAACAAGAGTGGGGGTCAAAGCTAAGGGCATAGTATTGCCAGTGACTTTGCTAGGTAAAACACAGTAAAAAAAAAATTCTCAAGCCTAAGCACAATTCAGAAAGAGTTTAATAAACAGCCGCTTAACATTGCACCAAAGCATTTGGAAACACAATTTCTACAGAAGGCAAAGGTCAGGCTTTCATTCTAAATTTCTTAAGACAATCCTTAACAGCCCCACCCACCCTACCCCACCCCCATCCCCACAAATCCACGAGACTATACTCTTCTATTCGTGAATTTACCTACATATACAGTCTTAGGAAGAATGGGACTGGCATGCATCATCCCAGCAATGGCAAGGAAGCAGGGGATGGGAGTGGGATGGATGAAAAGGCAACCAACAGCTAGTGACTGACCCCTTAGAAGCTTTGTTCAGGAGGTGGGCAGGAGTACCTGCATGTGGTACCATCTTGACCACTCTGAGCTAGTTTAGGTACTCAGATTCAAAGTGCCTAGGTTGCCAACTTAAACACTTGAGCTGTGACTATTAGAAGTGGTTTCCTTTGGTGACATACTGCTGCTGTCTAAAAATCTTTTTGGTATTCAATCTAACTACACTCAGATTCCAGCCAAAGGAGCTTGTACTGATTGTGAGGTCAAGGTGAAATTGGATGATCACTCTGTCTTCATTTTGGCTGTTAGAAAGAGTGCAGAATACTTGATTTCAGTTATAAGGAGACTTGACAAGTCATCCAAATTTCAGGAATCAGTTTGCCATGTGTCTTACAGAAACTTTTAAATTATGCCTGTGTCTTTTACTCACATTGTGGCGAATAAATGAGATTGACTGGCTTATAAATAATACATGTCAAAATTGGTAATCAAGTTAAAGATTTAGAAGACTCAAAAACTGACAAGAGATACTATGATAGATCTCCAATTCATCCCTTCTAGCATGGACAGAGGACCATACTTCTCTGACACAGTGGGAGTCTAGGGTTTCAGGATGTGGCAACTGTGGAAGGAAGAAGTATACTTTTGCCCTCTTTTGTGCCAAGCGTTAAGTGCCACCTACCATCCCAGTCCTGGTGTGACACTGTGGGTGAACTACAAGGTCAGCAGTTCAAACTCACCAGCTGCTCCTTGGAAACCCTATACAGGGTCGCTATGGGTCAGAATCGACTCAATGGCACTCAACAACAACAACAACCATCCCAGTCACGAGCATATTGCCCCTTTTAGTTTCTGACAAGTTGTCCTGGCCAGGAGGCGACTTTTCTACCTTGCCCATCTTTAAAAATTATTATGTAGGCATTTTGATCTGGATTTTCCTCTTTTTATCCCTTTTTTATGTTTCCATTAAAAAAAAAAAGTGCTTGGGCCTTTGCCGGAAGAGCTGCAGGTGGCAAGAAGTCCAAATCAGGCAGTGCCCAGTTGGTTACAAGGGAGGGAAAGTGAACAAGGGCTGAGGTATTTTCTGGAGGATAGAGATACCAAGGAAGGTTATTTTCTGAGGGGCTGGACATAGCAAGGTACCAGCTATCTTGGTGCCAGGTTGGTCCAGTTAACTTTATCTGTTTGGGTCATACATGATGAACAGTTGTTGGCCTCCACTGTTCCCACTAACTTCCAAGTCAAGAAAGTTGTTGTGGGCCATACTCAGAGAATAGCACTGGCTAGTGGTCCCCGCTTTAGGCAGGGGAAGTGGCAGGCAGGACTCCATGGAAAAACTAAGCCTGGCTCCCTAGTTAGTTAACATCCTCTGATCTGGACTAGTCATCAGTACTCAACCTGGAACTCTTGAACAGCCAACGTTTCCACTCTAAAGAGTGGCGTATCCTGTCCTTTTTGCAGTAGGCAGAGTGTAATAAAACACATGCAGTGACCTCAGCTTGGGGAAACTGGCAGACTAAGATGAGCAATGTGACAAATGACAGTGTTTGGCTCTGATGGGAGTACACTCAGCAATGTTAAAAGAACAATTACTTTTTGCTATTATTGTTTTTCCATTGAGATCCATAAATAGATTTGAGAGTCACAGCTTGGTGGAGGATTAAAAAGAAGAATCCTAAAATAGATGAAGGGAAGCCTCGGAGTTTGGGTACCTGAATGCTTCATAGGGTATACAGTGATCTGGTTGCTGGACTGTCACTACTATCTACTGTTTGCGGATCATGCCCTTAATAGCTGACTCCCGGTTGACATATGTGGCCCAATAGACCAGATTAAATATGGCAAAGAGCACAGGAAAGATAATGCGGGAAATTTTGTCAACCTTGCTGACACTGTTGTAGGTCTTGGTCTCAGTGGGGGTTTCTGGTACATAGGTGGCCTTGGGTGAAGCAATGATTGTTGGGGTTGAGGAGGCACTGGTAGCAGCAGCCTTGGAGATAGTAGAAAACTCAGTATCCTTGGCCAGGTTGATAGGATAGGTGGTACCCACGATGTTGAAGGTGGTGCTGCTTTTCTTTGTTGGGGCTGCTGGTGTTTTCTTCTATGGGCCAGAAAAAAGTAGGGGAGAAAGAAGAAATAAAACAAAAGTGTATTATTTTATCACACAGAGCACCTTCACAGGTTTTAGGGAAGAGGAGTCATGAAAGAAGTTAAGAAACAGAAGCCACTGCTACAATAGCACTGAGTAGCCAGATTTGTGGATGTACCCAGGAATAACTAAGGATGACTTTGAAAACAGAAATTTTGCATCTTCTGGCTTAACCACTTGCTAACTATGTGGATTTGGCCAAGTCATTTCTCTTTGAGCTTCAGTTTCTTCATCTGTAAAAGAAGGATCAAAATAATGGGCAGGGCTACTGAGAGGATCAAATGAAAGAATAGCTGTCACTCTCACTAGTCAACTGTGAAACACTTCTCACATATGGGGCCTTGTATATAAGGGAACATCAAAATGCTTGTGGAAAAAAATGGAATTAAAAGATAGTGGGATTTTCCCATGAAAGTTTTTGAAGCCTTCTCATAGTATGTGTGCTGATTCTCACAGCAACTCTATGAGTTAGGTGGGTAAGATTATTCCCTCTTGACAGATGAGAAAACTCAGCTTGAGACTGAGTGGCAGAGCCCAAACTAGCAACCTGGGCTCCTAACTTTTACCCAGGGCTGCACCGTGCTGCTTTCTACAGGCACAAGGCACTTTTTGGTTATCCGAGAAATAACTCCACAAGGCCGCAACCATCAAGGGGCACACCTCCTGTGAGGAAGAGAGCTCGGTGAGTCTACAAAGTCATTTTGTCTTAAAGACACAATAAAAACTATGGCACGTTGACATGCATAATTATCAGACCATTCCATCCGTCATGCACTGTAAATGTATTTAGCAAGTTAGGGGGCATGCCAGGGTTTTCTAACATCGAAAGGCTACAGGCAGGAACCCCAGCCTGCACAGAGTTCTGCAAATGCCCCCTCTAGTATAGTACACAGTGGCAGCTGGCACATTATGGCACTGTCCTTTGGATCTATTCTTCTGAAGTTAAAAAATAAAATCCAATGAGAAGCAAGTGCACCTACATGTGCATATTCCCATTGTTTTCATAAATATCCACCTATGCATATAAGGACTTTCATTGGAGTTCCCTTCGTGCAAAAGAGAGACGAGGACTCAAGGCTTAGCCTGAATCAGAATAGAGATACAGGCTGAGGAACAGGGAAGTCCATTAGCATTTTAAATACCAGCAGGGTCACCCATGGTGGACAGGTTTCAACAGAGCTTCCAAACTAAGGCAGACCAGGAAGAAAGCCTGGAAATATACTTCTGAAAATTAGTAAAAGAAAAATCTATGGATCACAACAGAATACTATCTTGTATAGAGCTGGAAGATGAGATCCTCTAGGTTGGAAAGCAATCAAAATATATAGTGGCTGCAACAATGGACTCAAGTATACCAATGAGTGTGAAGATGGCACAAAACTGATGATGCTTTGTTCGAATGTACATGCGGTCTCCATGAGTTTGACTCAATAGGATGGCAGCTAACAAGAAAAATAAATTTTACCCACCTCATGTTTTCTTTTTGGATGTTACTTTGCTTGCCATTATCCTGCATTTGGCCTCCTTTGCTCCTCCACTCTTTCCTTGTTTCTTCCCTAGGATTCTCTACTACCATCTTCTCCTACTGTCCTCTTTCTCCTAATCTCTATTTCTTTTCTTTTCTACTTCTGAGTCCCCAAGATTCTTATCTTTTCTCTTTTAGACCTCACTGCCACTTACCACCCTGATCCAAATACCAGCTTTTGGGTTGTGACTTTACTATAATCTCATTGAATAAATCATTATGGCAGATGCCTCTTGATGGGAGGAGAACTGAGAATGTTTGTTGTTTGTGTTGTTAAGTGCCGTTGAGTCGGTTCCGACACAAAGCGACCCTGTGTAGGGTTTCCGAGGAGCAGCTGGTGAGCTTGAACCACTGACCCTGCAGTTCAAATGGCTCTGCAGTCTGGCGCATTAACCCACAGCACCACACCTAATGACTATTAATTGACAATCTATACTGAGCAAATAATCTGAGACACTGGATTATATGAAGAAGAGTTTGGCATCAGGATTGGAGGAAGATTCATTAACAACCTGCAATATGCAAATGATACAACCTTGCTTGCTGGAAGGGAAGAGGAATTAAAAATAATGATGTAAATGAAAGACCACAGCCTTCCGTATGGATTGCACTTCAATGTAAACCAAACAAAAATTCTCACAGCTGGACCAATAAATAGCATCATGATGAATGGAGAAAAGTTAGAAGTTGCCAAAGATTTCAGTTTCCTTGAGTCCATAATCAGTGCTCGCACTCATAGAAACAACAGTCAAGAAATCAAAGAATATAGTGTATTAGGAAATTTTGCTGTAAATGGCCTCTTTGAAAGGTTACAGTGCAAAGAAGTCACTCTGAGGACTAAGGTCACACCTAACTCAAGCCATGATATTTTCAATTACCTCATTTCAAAGTTGGATAATGAATAAGGAAGAACATAGAATATATTAATTTGAATTAAGGTTTTGGCAAAGAATATTGAAAATTGCATAAACTTCTAAAAGAACAAAGAAATCTGTGTTGGAAGAAATACAGCCAGAATTTTCCTTAGAAGCCAGGATGGTGAGACCTTGTTGCTCATAATTTGAACATGTTATCAGGAGGGGTCAGTGTGTGGAGAAGGACATCATGCTTAGTAAAGTGGAGGGTCAGTGAAAATGTGGAAGACCCCTAATGAGATGGATTGGCACAATGGCAGCAGCAATGGGCTCAAATGCAACAATTGTGAAGATGGCACAGCACCTAGAAGTGTTTCATTCTGTTGTGCAAAAGGTTGCTGAGTTGGAGCTGACTCAGAGCTCTTTGTAGAAATAGTATCTGTCAGTGAAACCCAATGTCTTGTTGGTCTATTAATCACCACATGCCCCTGTACTGATATTATGAGCAGCTGTTACTGACCCTAAAGGTCCACCCTCCTGATGGCACATCCACACCCAGCTAATATTCTATGATGGCAGGCTGCCGTGCCATCATCAGGCATCTTCAAAGTAAAGGTCAATGGCAGATGATACCCAAGGCAAGTGCTACTGGGCAAAGAACTACACTAGGTATTTATGGATAAACGAAAAATTTCGAAGATGTGTCAGCTTCAGTCTTTGTCTTCTAGGAGTTCTATTTAGTCGAGGAGACAGCCTTGTGGAGAGATCATTACCATAGAATGTGACTGGAGTGCTAACAAATACCAGCAAAGTATTATGAGAGTATGGGACAGATAGGGACAAAGTACCTGCAGGTGTTGGAAAATACAGCTCAGAGAAGACAATGGGGTTTGTGAACAGCATTGCAAAGCATGAACAGGAGCTCATGAGATGAAGTAGCCAAGGTCAGTGCCCAATTAATGAGCACTGTTTGTTTGGGGATTGAGGAGGCATTTGCTGTGATTATATCACTGTGTGCAAGGCAAAGTACGACAGGTAGTGGTTCAATCTTAAAGGCCTGGTTCCCCAGGCTCCCCTGTCCTACCTTCTTGTGGTGGTTCCACTGTTTCCAACTGAGGAGGAGAAGACGGACAGATGAGGGGGTGCTGGCTTAAGTAAATGAACAGTCTGACTAATACGGACATTTAAAAACTAGCATTGTTCCTTCTGTTTGACAATTACAATCACATTGCTACAACTGTAGGGAGGACAGAGCTCTAAGGCTTCTAAGAACCTTGTAAATGCTTTAAATACTACATGGGACTCATTTATAATTAGTATATTCATTGCGTGAATAGATTCCTGCTGCTAATTGCCTTTGCTATTAAATAAAATAGCACTTTACTTGTTTGCTTGCTTACTTATTAATTTGCTTAGTAATCTCTTTTTTTATGGGAATACAAAAAAAGCAGAAAAAGAAGAAGAAGAAAAACCATCATCTTGACTTTGCTAGAAGCTTTCACATATGCTCTCTCATTGAGTCATCTCATAATCTGGTTATGACCAAGTCTCTCAAACAATCATTCTGAACAGAAAATACTGTCTTTAGCTCCATGGACACTATGTGTTCTATAGGTAAGGAAGAAACAGAAGTTGCTTTAGTTACAGACACTTTTTAATAATAATAGAAAACCATCTTTTGATTTCTCTCACTCTGTATAACATGACACATTTCCACATTTTAACAAGCAGCTACACTTTTAATTTAAATTGTCAAAGAGGAAACCCAAAGCAAATGTTGTAGTGTTGAGAAGAGAAGAGCAAGAGGCAGAGACTAATGTTTCATATTTACCCAGATTTCCTTGCTCTGGAATTTAGTAGCGACTAGAAGGATTTAACTTAGACCAAGTTGCCATTCTATCCCTACCTCCCTAGTCAAGTGTCTGTATGGATGTGTAATGAATGAAAGATAAAAAATACTCTCTATAGATTCTTGAATTCCTGGTGTGGTGCTGTGGGTTAATGTGCTGGAGAGCAAAACAGGTTTAAACCATAAGGTTAGTGGTTTAAGCTTACCAGGTGTTCCTTCGAAGCCCTGTACAGGGTAGCTATGGGTTGGAACTGACTAGACAGCAGTTAACAACAACAAAATAGATTCTTAGTGTGATTTCAGGTGTTGTTCCTCCTGGGTTTGAGCTTTCTTATATCCAGAACATGCTCTATAGTTTGGCCTGATGTAATTCCCACATCAGAAAGCTAAACCTGATGCCGCTAAATTCCCCAAGGTGTCTGACCTCATTATTAGGATACCTTTCTTTCTGGAAAGCAGCCACTTTTGGGTTTGTGGAGGAGATAAAGAACACTTTTATAGACTAGTGCAGCATGTCCAACTTAAGAATCTCTTTTTCAGCATGCTTATCAATGTTTCTATTGATGCTAATTAGAGGGTTTGCTGGAGCCCCAAATGCACTTGCGACCCAGTCAAGATCTCACAGCATTTGCAGACATGGTCCAATGCTTCTGTGTTAATCCTGGTAGCCACCCAGCTCTTTTGAACCCCAGTTTCAAGAAGTAAGGCTAAGCAATAAGGTATA